ACACATTTTTTCCCTTGATTCCATGATCCATGCACGTGTGCGCGAACACACCCGTACGCCAAGCTACCGGCCGTATTCGTAGTTGCCACGCACATTTGCAAAACCTGAATTCTGTTTTCAACGACACTGCACTGGGACAAAAGTGAATTGTGCTTAGTGCATGTGAACCAGTGGATGCTGTGTTCAGTAAGTCCATCGTAGTAAGTTCACGGCCTTGTACACTGCATTTGTTGGAAGAGAAACGTGAGAGTCTCCGAGTTCTCATAACTTGCGGCCCTCTCGCAAGCTTTAAGGTGGCTCATTCCTCAATTTAAAACTAGTCCTTTGAGCATCCTTCTGTGCATGTTTGGGTAGATATCATGAAATATTACTATTTTTTGCCGCTCGCGGATTCCAACCTCCCCCGTAACTATAACGTGTAATTAATTAATCTGCTTGCGGAACTGTTTCCTCCATTGTGGACTCGGACGCGTAGCACAGAGGCTGTATTTATAAGTGCAACAACTAGGCACAAAACTGACAGAGTACTGAGACATTCGAAGTCCTGTCATCTAGCTTCAACACATTTCCGTAGCATTCCAACTCTGAAGGTTCAAGGTTAAGGAGAGACCAAAGAGGGGAAGATAAGTGCGACGAAAATTAGCACAAGCTACAGTCCCAACGGAACAAAGAGTGTCGTTTGTTACTGGACGATGACGAGACCAGTAGAATATTTGACAAAGCGGTCTCAATACATTTCGAAGCAGCAAAGCAGCACACCACTTAGCTTGGGTGGCTGAGAAATATCAAAGATTAATACAGAAGGGGGATGCTTTGCGAAAACGAATTAGTGTCTATTTACAGTGGTGCAGAGTTACTCTTAACTCGTTTCCATATGTCCTTCGTCCTTTGTACATTTATTATTGGCGCAATATCCGAGTTTCAAATTGCACACCTGATGAGCTGCCATGAACCATACGGCGAAACGTACGTCGTGTGAAACAACTTGTTTTGTAGTCAACTAGTCTATCACAATGTCATGCATTAGGAGTACAGTAGGAGTTTGGCGTTCGCCTTGTACAGTTCGTTTTCGCAAAGCGTCCTCTCTGCGCTGGTTGTTGATCTCCACGGGCATCAGACTGGGTGTACTCAGGGGCGGACACCGGGGGGGGGGGGGGGGGGGGGGGGGGGGGTTCAGGGGGTTTGGACGAACCCCCTAAAATAATTTCGACCATGGGTCCAGTCGATTTTTTTATGGTATCCACGTGCGCAGCCAGCGAAGTGTAGCGTACCGCGTAGCCAGCAGCTAGTACTAGTAGACTACTTCACTGGCATGCATCCTGCATGCATGCCAGTGTCAGGTACAGGCAGTGCAGGTACAGTACGCACTAGGTCACTGCATGCATGCGCATATGCAGTGGTCGGGACTGTTGTACGCGTACCGTTCGAATCGAAGTGTCTGTACGCGTATCATGTGACTTGAAACGATGTACAGTTCAAGTGGTGGTGCAACAAGTAAAAGGTGGAAAAACTGCCACTTGTCCTCCTTACCTTCCTTGTCGTTTTGTTTTATTTCGCGCCTGCTGGAGTGTAGGTTTTCTCCGTCACGAAGATAATGTTTGTGTTTGTCGTGTGGTTTGCCATGTCGCGACGTCTGCCAAAGATGCGAGCGGCCGATCAGTTGCCATTGAGCTTGGCTTCGTTCCGCCGTGGACGGCGCGACTGTGACGACACGGAGTCCCAGCCGGAGGACGGTCAGAGAACTTCGCCTTCCGTCAGTTCTGAAAAATCCTGCAGTCACGGCCTTAGTTTCTGCCTGTGCTGCAGCTTTGTACTTTGTAAGGCTCGAAACGCATTACCCGTGTCTTATTGGCCAAGCAATGCAAAGGCTACCGTGACAATAAAGATTTTAATTTTGCAAACCGTTTGAAGCAAAATTAATTCAGTGCACTCGAAAAAATTTGCACCCCCCCCCCCCCCCCCCCTGAAAAATTCCTGGATCCGCCCCTGGTACTTATCGAAGTTTTACTCTCTTGTGTACACAGCCCTGGGCCAGAAGAGCTTGTTGATGAGAAACAATTCGTCTGCTGCACTGGCAACAATACGCACAGTGGAGGATTAAAAAATATATATTTATGTCAAACACTTGGATGTTGTGGTCAGCCTCACCTGCTCTTGCTGCGATGAACTCCTTCAGCTGGTCTGCAGTAATTGCATGCATCAAGTTTCCAACAAAGAGGACTCTCTTCTTCGCAGTGGGTTTGGTGGAGGTGATGAGTCGTCATGTGTCTCTACCGATCTGGGCTGAGCAGCAGGCACGTTCACGACTTGACTGGCTATAAGAAAACCCCAGTAAGCATGCAAAATATACGAGCAATATGAGAGTGACATTTACTCAAATATGCATTTCTCTATGTTGCATTGTTCAGGTAAACACTACTCTCGAGTAGGTCGAAGCTGGTGTTACAGTGAAGACGAAAGCGGGGAGTGGCGCTCAGCCCACACTAGGCCCTGACGAACTTCAGCACATCCAGCAGTTTGTTGAACACAACCGCTATTCCAGCAGGGAGAAAGCAGCAGCCGATTTGGCTAATGTTGGTCCAGCAGCCGAATCAGTAGGTGCTAGGCAGGTAAGACGGCGCCTATCAGAAGCCCATCGCTTTGGGCGCCCGCATAGGAAAGTCGTCCTCACTAAGGCACACCAGCCCCACCGTCTTGCGTGGGCTGTCTTCCACCAAGGCTACGCCTTCGACCGGAAAGTATCCGCCGACGAAGCTTGTTTTGCTGCCGGCCCCGACTGTCGGATCATGTTCTGGTTTCCTCGCAATTCTGTTCCTGTTGCTGAGCAGGCACAGCATCCTGAGAGGGTGCACGTCCTCGGCACTGTGTCTCTGTCACCTAACGCGCAGCAGCACATCCTCGACAACGGCATGCCGATCATTGCGTTTCAACCTGCTCGTTCACCAGACCTAAACCCGATCGAGAACATTTGGAGCTTGCTGAAATGACAACTGGTAGCACACAACTGCCAAACTGCGGATGAGCTGCGAAAGGCCGTGGATCTGGATTAGGGAGCGCTGCAGCCTGCCGATGTGGCGAGTTTCGCAACATCCATGATCTAGTGCGCGTGGATCTAGAGCGCGTGTGAGCGCCTGGAAGGTCCACTTTCCACCCTCAGTTCTGACGCTGACGGGAAGAGCATTCCACTGGACAATTGCCACAAACCAGATGGAACGTCGCCCGAAGGGACTGCGGAGAAAATGCACACATAGCAGATTGGACTGATGCCCTCAAGTTGCCCGGATGTTGCTGGGGGCGCCAACTGGAGCCGTGCCTGTGAACATCTCCTAAAGCAGGGGGTTAGCTTTGTGTCGGAGGCACCGATGAACTAGGACCAGAAACGTTTGATTTAGCCGGTGCAGTAGGCTGGGGACACAAGCAGGGATAGAAGAGGGGCTGTGGGCACGAGATTACGCTGTTGGAGGGTTGACCGTAGACCTCTGTTGGAGGGTTTGAAGAATTGATCAAGAAGGGTTGGACTCCGCAAGAGCCGCTGTCGCAAGGTGGCACCGATGCCAGCCTTGAACATCTTTTCAAACGGACCAAGCAGGTGTGTGCTAGGTCCTGGAAAGAAACTGTTTGAACCATAACACAGCTGGGAAAGGATCATGCTCAGCAACCATGTTCTGCCGGACAAGCAAACTAAGTCCTCGTCCATGCCTCCAGAGCTGACCAATTGTTCGCGCTGTCTTGCGACCAATATACTCCACATGTGGAGCCCAGGATAAATCATTATCCAGGACTAAATCAAGGTACTGGGCTGTAGGGGTCACACAGAATTTCTCGCCATTGCAGAATGTTTCTGCTCGCCACCCCTATAACATAGACAGCTATGACCGCTGCGGGTTTTTGACGCAGGAGTTTGTGTGCGCTTAGATTTGTCTTACAAACGCAGATGCCTGTGTATGCGTGTGGACATGCGTCTATATGTGTGTGTATATGCGTGTGTGCGTGTGTTTGTGCGTGTGCGAGTTAGGGTGTTGTCGGTGGGTGGGTGTCTGTGTGAGCGTGCGCCCGTGTGCAAGTTAGGGTGTTGTGTGTGTGTGTGTGTGTGTGTGTGTGTGTGTGTGTGTGTGTGTGTGTGTGTGTATGTGTGTGTGCGTGTGTGTGTTAGTGTGTGCGTGTATGTGTGTGGGTGTTACTATGTGTGTGTGTGTGTGTGTGTGTGTGTGGTGTGTGTGAGCGAGATTAAGCGCATACTTGTTAGTGCTAGACCTGCGCTTACTGCATCTGCCTCTGAAATAGCCTGTCCCTGTATACACAAAGGCACACAATGAAAACCTTGGAAAATTTATTCCGTTGTGACTCCGAGTTTCATGGTGTGTATACAGCTACAGCTGTATGAAGAACGGAGCGTCGATTATCAAAGGGCACAATGCTGCAAAACTTCACTCGCGACCGCCAGTTGTGCAATGCAATTGTCGGGTGTTGTGGGTGAGTGTATGTGTGTGTGTGTTAGTGTATGTGTGTGTGTGTGTGTGGGTGTTACTATGTGTGTGCGTGTTAGTATGTGTGTGTGTGTGTGTGTGTGTGTGTGGTGTGTGTGAGCGACATTAAGCGCGTACTTGTTAGTGCTAGACCTGCGCCTACTGCATCTGCCTCTGAAATAGCCCGTCCCTGTATACATTCACGCGATTACTCCTCTCGCTATCGTATTATCACACCTCTCTCCACATAGATATACCAGCGCAGCCTCCTATTCCATTATCGTTGTCTGATGATTGGTTCAGCCATGAAACAATCAGTCACAAGGGAATTAATTTGCCAAGGTTTTCATTGTGTGACTTTGTGTCTTTTGGATAAAAAATAATATTCCCTAGTCATAACTCGTAACATGTTGTCTTTCTCCTCTGAGACGCCAAATAGAGTAAAACGAAATTCTTCCAGGAAGTGATATACATCCTATCAAAATTATACTTTGTTCTCCCAGAGATTTGAAAGGTAATCAACTTGTTCACCTACCTGCCGGGCTGTTCAGCGCCACAACCAAATTACAAAAGCTGTAAGTCATGTTTTGCATGTACCGTAAACAAGCATTTTTGGCGTAGTTCTGTTCTTTTGAGATGTGGCAAATGGGATTTCGGGATTTGGCATTTCGCTAATTGATCTCATGTACCCTCTCCCACCCTTTATGACCTGAATCTGACGCCGCTTGTGGAAGACTTTTCCAGGTAGAACTCCGTGTTGGAAGCAAAGAGCTGAGATACCGTCTTTACAGTATCCCTGGCGCATTCCTTCAAGACAGGAGCGGAAACACCGTCGGGTCCAGTTGCCTTTTTGAGGAATTCAAGACGAGCTAGAAGTCTGTGGACTGCATTGGGACAAAAGTGAACTGTCGTTAGTGCATGTGAGCCAGTGAATGCTGTGTTCAGTAAGTCCATCTTGGTAAATTCGCGGCCTTGTTGTTGGAAGAGAAACGTCCATTTTGGTATTGTTCAAGCACGCAACTGGCTGTACACTAGAGCAGTGATCCCCTGTCGCTTTGTGTCAAAAAGGCCAAAGCTAGCAAGTCTGTACACGATCCCAAGTACACTGATCTAAATTGTCAGAAATATGGACAGTGGACTCACAAATAGATATTAGCAAGAGTCCATAAACAAGAGTATGCAACTGTGATCTCTTTTCTATGGGCCAGATGCGCTGCTCGCTGCCTTCATTACATCATTCAGCTGCAGTATGCGCACTGCGGAAAATCAAACAACGCACTTTCCCTCCAGTTTGAAATGAACTTTCGTACGGAACTGGAGTTCACGCGCCAGAATTCAGAGATTTTGTAGGTACTGGAACGAATCGAGCAAAAACGGATGGGCTGGTGTGAGAAATTGAGAGTTTGGATGCATGCTTTCAGAGCGTGATGAAGGCAAGTTACGTAATGAAGGCAGCGCGCCGCGCACTGACCCATAACCACAGTTGCATACTCTTGTTTATGCACTCTTGATATTAGGTATGGCCTCTATCAAGAGTATGTTAAAACCTTGCCTCTATCTATAGTGGCGAGCTGGGCCAAAGTATTTTCTAACCTGGAATGCATACATTTATACCAGCACACAACCAGATTCAGAAACAAATTGCACATACAATGTAAGCATTGGATTCTGATTTTTGTCCCCTTTTATTTTTAAGATTTTTGAGCGTTTCCGTGATCATGTTGAAAAGAATCCTTCGACACCTTCGTTTTAATTATAGAAGGTTCGAATGGGAATTTGAGACTTTCGTTTCACCCCTAATTATTATTATTATAGGCTTTTCCGCGTTGGCATCGCCATGCAAGCTTGGCAAGCCTTCGCATAAGCTGCTCCATAATGATAAGACGAAACAGTGAATGCATGTATATACGATCTAGGACAGAACCAAGGTTGAGGATATTTTTGAAGAAAGCTGCAAGTTGTATTAAGGAACACAATGTTGGAAACTCTACGAAAGTAAACTGCAAGAAATTTTTGGGGTTGTTCTCATGATTATTGTAGTCACAGGTTGTGTTAGTAGCATTAAAGGTTGTGTTTTCACAGGTATATCGTTTACATTCCTATTCATTTAGGGGCCATCCGTAATTATCGATATTTTTCACGAAACGAAAAAGTTTAGTTATGACCCACCCCTACCCACCCACCCCCCTGAAACGAAACAATAATTAATTGACTTGAGACTTTGTGCAGAAAATGATCTTGATTGGCTGTTACAACACACACATATCCTTCACATGCAAGCACTATTAACCCTTTACCGGCAAGTAATAGTTACTTGGTCCGGCTCATCGCAATTGTCGCTTATCTCCCACGCACCTTTTGACAGGTAAAACCCAGTCCGATCACGATATCGAACTTACTTTTGCTTGGGAGGTTGTGATGGCAAGATCAAAGGAGGCACCAAAGAAAAATGATCGCGACTAGCACTTTGAATCGCGATGTGTTCGACTTTTTTGGGAAGTGGGAATCTGGCCATTCACTGTCTGTGTTGCCAAAAGCGCAGCGACCCGAAGACCGGAACTGTGGCAGGGGCAACTGACATCCAGGACAATCCTGGAGAGCGTGACAGGCACACGCGTGCACGGCAGAGGAGTACGAGCCGCATGAGCGTCATGCTGAAGAAGAAAGGTATTTTTGATGCGATGCGCCCTGCCGACGGTTGTTGTTCCTTGCTTGGTGGACCTAGCACTAGTAGTAGCAGCGGCATTACAAGAGTCGTGGTCAGCGTATCCAGCGGAGCGTATGACAGCTGTCTGGAGAGGCCCGTATGCCTCGAAGGCTTTGTTGAAACACGCTGTGGAGACACACAGGTCACACTGCCCACGGTTCCTTCAAGCACCGAAGTGACAGCCACAGCTGTTCCTTTCCCGTTGCTGCCATACGACAGCCTGAGTGGGAAAGTAAGAGATACTCTATCTACGCCAGCAGCTAGACACCAGCAAATGTCAGCTCATGTAACGGCGCGGCATCTCGAGTGATACAGAGATGTGAATGAACTCTGAACCTGTAAGAGTGTGAGTGCAAGAACGCGCTCCTTCGCGGATTTATTTCGTGCATTTTGCTTACCTTGCTTCCTTTCTTTGACTCGCTTCACCTGATTCCATTGCTGAAATTTTTTTCTTGTGGCGGAGAGTATTCTTGTATCATGCTTTCTCACTATGCCTACTGGAAATTTCACAGAGCGGTAACAAAACTCCTGTTCTTAGTGGCGATAGATAAGCGACAATTGCGATGAGCCGGACCAAGTACTTTTGTATATGAAATCCATAACATTTTTGAATGATGCCAATAATTCACAGCGAGGCCACATTTTGTATGATTGTGCAAGTCAGTTATGTTTTCTTGGAAGTCTGGTACTACCGGTACTTCTTGACCATGGAAACATTTATTTTCACCTACCACACACATACCCTGCTAAATAATTGGCACCTGTACGTCTAAACACGGGAATAGTACACATGCAAATTGTCAGAGTTCCGACATTGACATGATACTGCCAAAACAAGTCGACTTCGGAGCAGAAACAAACGCCATAGCTATCACAGACTTCAGTGAATCAGTGGTCGTGCCTCGCTCGCAAATGAGAGCAGCATTGCCCTAGAATCGCTGTCGGAAAGCTCCGTAAGGTCGCACACACGCCGCGCTGCGCTGCCGGAAATCAGGCACGTAGAATTTCGATGTCCTAAATTTCCGTCTCTGGAAGACTGTCGACACGGGGATCACTCTCCATGGCTTCCCCACCATAAGCACGATCAGATTCGTCCAGGTACAATACGACGACATTGTCTTCAGCGGCTGGCGCTCCCCATGTTTGCGTGAGAATTTACTTGGCGTGCGCTCCGCTCCGTAATTTGAAATTCTCTTGCATCGGCGGCTGGAACGAAGTATTTATCTTTCTGTCGTCGGTCCCAGCGCGAATGACTGCTAGGTCCTCGTCGGAGAAGTCATCCGAGGACGAAAGGAACTCACAACTGCACTGAGTACAGAGTGGTATCACTGCATCCATGCAGCACTTGCCTGGCCGCGCGACGTACTGTCGATCTACTTCGAAGTACACAATGTATGCATGCATCAATGCATGCAGTGCGCGTTGATTTTTCCGCTTTCGATGTTTTTTTCAAAAAGAAAAACGGTCACTACCCACCCACCCAGAAATGAAACTTTTTCGTTTCGTGAAAAAGATCGATAAATACGGATGGCCCCTTGCAGGATCATATTTTCACAAAATATGTTAGTGAACGAGTTATGTTATTGTACACCGTACAGCCATGCAGCTGCCACAGGTGGAAGTAGTATTAGGCTTTGATGTACTTGGTCCGGCTCATCGCAATTGTCGCTTTTCTATCGCCACTAAGAACAGGAGTTTTTTTACCGCTCTGTGAAATTTCCACTAGGCATAGTGAGGAAACATGATACAAGAATTCTCTCCGCCAGAAGAAAAAAAATTCAGCAATGGAATCAGGTGAAGCGAATCGAAGAAAGGAAGCAAGGTAAGCAAAATGCACGAAATACATCCACGAAGGAGCGCGATTTTGCACTCACACTCTTACAGGTCCAGAGTTCATTCAACTCTGGATCACTCGAGCTGCCGCCCCGTTGCATGAGCTGACATTTGCTGGTGTCTAGCTGCTGGCGTAGACTGGAGTATCTCTTGCTTTCTCAGGCTGTCGTATGGCAGTAATGGGAAAGGAACAGTTGTGGCTGTCACTTCGGTGCTTGAAGGAACCGTGGGCAGTGTGACCTGTGTGTCGCCACAGTGTGTTTCAACAAAGCCTTCGGGGCATACAGGCCTCTGCAGACAGCTGTCAAATGCTCCGCTGGATACGCTGACCACGACTCTTGTAATGCTGCTGCTAGGTCCACCAAGCAAGGAACAACAACCGCCCGCCGGGCGCATCCCATCAAAAACACCTTTCTTCTTCAGCATGACACTCATGCGGCTCATACTCCTCTGCCGTGCACGCATGCCTGGCACGCTCTTCAGGATGTCAGTTGCCCCTACCACAGTTCCGGTCTTCGGGTCGCTGCGCTTGGCTTTTGGCAACACAGACAGTGACTGGCCAGATTCCCACTTCCCAAAAAAAGTCAAACACATCGCGATTCAAAGCGCTAGTCACGATCATTTTTCTTTGGTGCCTCCTTTGATCTTGCCATCACAACCTCCAAGTATGTTAGATATCGTGATTGGACTGGGTTTTACCTGTAAAAAGGTGCGTGGGAGATAAGCGACAATTGCGATGAGCCGAACCAAGTACGTTTTTTATCACATTGCTGCATAGGTCTTTCCACTCTTGTCGTGACTGGGCGATGGCATGGAGGTTTTCAAGTTGCTCACGTTTCTTGAGTGACCCCCCGATACGCTGCAAGTCCTGGTGCAGACTCAGTGGCAGAGTTGTACGTGGCCGGCCCCGCCAGGTGGCAGCGGAACTTGAGTTTTCGAAATACCGTATTTTTCCGGTTGTAAATCGACCTTGTATGACTGGAAATAGAAGGAGAAAGGGTGGGGGTCGACTTGCAACCGGGATTCGACATATAACCGGGAACTATCAGTATCTTTAAAAAATGACCTGCAATGCATGCACGAGTGCACCATGTGTACACATGTTTGCCAGTTAATTGGCCTTTTTCAAGGATTGGGTAACTTTTACCCTCCTATAGGGAATGTTTACATGATTTGTTGATGTGTCAGTAGCAGAGAGTGGTAAGTAGTGCTTCTTTTGGTGCAAACTTCAAAACGCGTCAATTGAGACCTCCGGATACGGGGGTCGACTTATAACCGGGGTCGACTTCGCACTTCGCACTTTCTGACCGTTTATCATCTCGTTACCGTCGTGGATAGTTGCTGCATAACTCGTTCTCATGTGTTTCTTCTCTTTTTAACATTAAATTTTTATTACTGGCTCAGGTTCCGAGTTTAGACTTTCTTCGAGTGCCGACTCTTTTAAAAATAATCTTTCTCTTTTGTATAAATAATAATAATCCCTAGTTATAACTCGTAACAGGTTGTCTTTCTCCTCTGAGACGCCAAATAGAGTAATAAGAAATTCTTCCAAGAAGTAATATCCATCCTATCAAAATTATACTTTGTTCTCCCAGAGATTTGAAAGGTAATCAACTTTTTCACCTACCTGCCGGGCTGTTCAACGCCACAACCAAATTACAAAACCTGTAAGTCATGTTGTGCATGTACCGTTAAATTATTTTTTGCGCACGCGCAATAATTATGTTAACACAGAAGGCGCATGCTCTGTTCCCAACAAACTCTCCAGCGCGCTCATTGTTCTCCGAAGTCCACTGTTCTTGACTTCAGTTCTTGCTTTGTCCGCATTGGCAGTGTATTTCTTTCTCAATTCTTTCCTCACGGAGATGCCCCGTGTACGTAAGCAGTCGGCCCCCGGGCCCAGGCGTTCCAGTCGCAGGCGCGCCTCGTCGTCCCTGTATGCCGACACTCCAAATCGAGCCCCTGCGGACCATAAGGCCGATCGTTCCGGCGATGCCCGTGGGGAGCAGGGCGATATCCCGTCCGCCGTTCCCCAGCCGGCCAGCTTACTCACAACTGGGCTAGATCCACGTTCCGTTACAGCGGCCGTGTCGACGGCCCTGCACTCCCTGCTGACTCGTGTCGAGCGCCTTGAGGAACGAATTTCAGCTCGCCAGGATCCGGACGGCCATGCTCAGGCGGCGGTCCCCTCAGTGGCAGATGTGGTCCAAACCGCGTCCAACTCCGTCACCTATCACCTGCCGCAGGTCAACTCCGGCCCGATGGACATTTCCCTCATGGAACCCGCGCTGCCTCCGATCGCAGCGCCCATGGCGAACACTCCTTAGTCCAGCTCTAATGTTCCCATGGTCCCGCGTAAGTTGCTTGACAAAATCACACGCGGCGAATATATTGAGCTGGAGGATCTCCTCCCGGAGAATGTGGGTGCAGGGTCCGAGCCCTTGGAGCTCAGTACCGCCAACGGAGAGGGCCGGCGTGTGTCCCTCAATTTATGTGTGACTAAGAAGTGCTCCATTGTTGACTTCACTGCCTGGCTGGAATCCTACACAATCTACATGGCCTGCACACTGAAATATGTGCCATTCCGAGCACTGGAGCTGGTGACGTACCAGCACATTATCTTTTACTGCCAACCAGCAGCTGTACTGGGGTATGACCGTGCCTTCCGTGCAGCGGTGGCAACAACCTCGCCTCGTTGGGACGCAATCGACCAAAGCCTCGGGAGCCTGCACCTGATCCGGGCACCCCGACCATCATGTCCGCGCTGCACAATGCACCACAACCGTGACTGTTGCCCACAGTATTTGGCACGGCCACATGCTCCAGCTGGCACCAATACCAGCCGTCCTACTCAGCCATTTCTGGCCGGGGTGGGCAGCACCCGCCAGATCTGCCTCAACTTCAACCGTGGCCGCCCATGCCAACACCAGCCCTGTAAACACTTGCACGTCTGCTCAACCTGCGGTGACCGAGGTCATCCCACCGCTCGCTGCACCAACGACGGTCGCCGGGGACCCCGCCAGACGGACAAGCCCGTCGCAGCGAAGTAGTCTCCCCACGCCTCTGTGCATAGCCCGCCTAATGACTCTTTAGCCTCGTATTTCTACTCGTGTCCTCTCTGACTTTATCCTTAATGGCTTGCAACACGGGTTCCCCATTGGCCACTCTGGTGCTTCTGTATCTATCATCTCTGGCAACCTCCCCACTGCCATCGAACATGCTCAGTTTGTACAACAACAAATTGCTGACCGGGTCCGACGTAACAAATCGGCCGGTCCTTTCTCTGTCCAGCCTTTCCACCCATGTGTATGCTCTCCGCTCGGCGTAGTGCCCAAGAACAACGGAAATTCCGCCTCATTCACCACCTGTCTTACCCTGACCGTATGTGTAATAGTTTTACCTTGACACTTCTTGCTTGTCTTAAGGTAACACCTTGTGTTCCTACTTGTCCCACTCCTGCGGTTCCCGCCTTTCTTTTGCTTTATAACCTCTGGTTTGAACATCATTCGGGGAATTCTCCAATCAATCAAGTCTATACTGTTACACTGGTAGCTTGAGGATGGTTGAGATCATCGTTTCCCCTTTGACTTGCCTTGTGCTCCTGGCCGCTACTGCTCTGCTATACGCCGCTTTCCGTGAGATCCGCCGCGCTCGGGACAACGTGGCTGCTACAGTTGGACGACATCAATTACCTGCTACATCAAGCTCAAGTCCTCCGGATCTAGCCCCTTGTCGATCGCATTCTCTCTCCCAGACAAGCCCGAGCGTCAAACGAGTTACCAGAGAACCAAATGTTTTCCATGGCAACCCTTCCGAGTTCAAAGAGTGGGTATTTACGGTCGAGTTAGCCTTGAAGTGCTCACCTCAAGGTGACCCGGAGAGCCAAGTTAACTTTGCGGCTAGCTACCTCGCTGGGAATGCGCGTCTTTGGCTAATTTCCTCCACAGAAGCAGGTGAGCAATTTTCATATTGGCATTCTTTGAAAAGCGCCCTAGCGCGAGTGTATGGCCCGCACTATGACGGGGAAAGAGTGCGGTTGGATATGTTCTCTATCCAACAGCGTGGGTCAATTGAATCGTACGTAACGGAGTTTTCGCGGCTAAGTTTACAGGTGCCGGAACTTGACGAACTCTCCAGAGCCTTGCTATTTGTCAACGGCCTGCACGGTAACATGCGGACCTTGGTAGTGAAGGAACACCCCACTACACTGTCATCCGCCGTTCGGTCAGCGCTAGCAGTCGCCTCAGACAGCCGATTTCAGCGCAGACCACCACTGGCGACCGCGCCGGGATTCGCACCACCATCAGGTAGCAGAAAGCTAACAAAACTAGGCCCCGAGGAACGTGAGACATTACGAGCCCAGGGGGGGGGGGGGGGCTGCTTCGCATGTCGTCGACCAGGCAATATGGCCCAGAATTGCCCGCAGCATCGAGATCACCCAAACGGTCGACTAAGGCCGATTCGATTACTGACGCAGCAAGAAAAGGCATCACCTGCGTGTAGTGTGTGCTCCGTCCCTACCCGTAACCGATTCAGTAGCCTCACTGTGGAGGATGTTGACGATGATGCTGCATGCTCCGAAGCCAATTTCAAGCGAGATGTTACACTAACTATTGAGGCCCAGGTTACCAGCGTCAATGTGGAAACGGAACAGGAGCTCCTGCGTGTAGAAGGCAAAATCAACGGTCGTCGCGCGCTTATGTTAATAGATTCGGGCTCGACCCATGATTTCATTGCCAAACAGTTTGCCAGGAGAGTTAAAGGGGAACTACACCCAAAAATCAAAACTTCATGGTCCGTAGAGTTTTGGACGCTGAGTCGAATGGTGAAGGTCCCACTTCGATCCGACCAAGCGTTCCTGAGATATCTTCGGTTTAAATTGTACTTTCGGGGGACGCGCCATGACGTCATGCGGCCGCGACACACCCCCAACACGCCCTTCTACGTCATTGAGACTCGCTTGCCTGGGCCAAGCTCAGAAGTACAGGTATTTTGGTATGTGAAAGGAATAGTTCTGACAAAGACGTCCTCACCATGAGCGATTCCGACGTATCAGACGAGCTTGAAAGCTCAGAGCCTGAGCTGAAAATGTTTGGCTTCGAGCATGAGCCGAAATTTTCAGGAAAGGATATGGCAGCGCAAGCGGTGGCTTCCATTCGGGCTGTAAATGTGGATGAAGCAGAAATTACTGCAATTGGAGAAGTCGCTCTCCATCAGCAACATCTGGCAACCGGTTGGCTGGGCTATTTCGAAATGAAGCGGCAGCCAAAGCAGCTCAGACAAGCCTGACAATCCGTAAGTGTTTTCACAGTATAGTCCTACGTAATGCTCACAAATCGAATCGTTCTCTTCATATCGTAAATTGTGTGAAATTTTGTATTCGCACAGCACTCAGATCAATAGTCTCCTCACTCATGGAGTTTGCTGCGTAACATGGCTAGCATTATCTCCGTGCAAGTCGTGCAATGTGTATCGGTTCACTTGTGCTTTATCTCACATAAGTGGACTGCACCTCAATTCGTATTGTGGCGAAATACATTCTCACCTTTTGCATTATCACTTAGTCTTTACAGAATGCTGAGACGTTCTCTTGGATTTCACGTAGCTGTGTACCAACAATTACGCTGTGCACTCTAGCAGCAGCAGCACAGTCGCATATTGAGCGCGTTTTGCCCTACTGTGGTGTCTCATGACTGCATTACCGGAGCAGCTCTGTCCTTGATTATCATTCTAAAATGTGTGCACATATCCGCCTGCGCCCCACACACGCACGCACATGTGCTCACCTTGGTGGGCACATAGTATAGTAGTCACACATGCTCACGTACGCAGACACGCAATTTCACAAGCGCGTGCGCACACGAGTGCATAAGCATACAAGTGCCTGTGCACATGCTCGTGCACGCACACATGCGCACACTCATGCACTTGGTTGCATACCCACACATCCCTCAGGATCACCAACGGCAATGCATCTACTACTTGTCATTCCATGTCCCTCCCGCAAGGGGGAGAGAATGACATAAAGGAGAACACAGAATAGATGACGTGAATATCTTTGGTATGTTATATTACATTACACAAAAGCACACGCATGTGCGCGCACACACACACACACTCACGCAAGTGCGCCCACACACACACTCACGCGCATGCGCGAGCGCACACACTCAGTGTCACGCGCGTGCGCGCGCACACACTCACGCGCGTGCACCCACACACACAATAATAATAAGGTCTGTCTCTCACGCGCGTGCGCGCAAACACACTCACGTGCGCGCACACTCACGCACGGGCGCGCGCACGCACACACTCACGCTCGTGCGCGCACACTCACGCGCTTGCACGCATACACACAATAATAATAATGTCTGGCTCTCATCTGCATCCATACTGAGAAAACCCAACGAGTTCCCGAATAGGTGTACACCGTTGCCGGTATGTGGACTATCTTCTCTCCTTGAACTGCGGGTCATTGCGTGATGTAGCTTATCAGCAGTACATACTGTGTGTTCATACAGGAAAAAACATGCCAGCTAGAGGCGCTGGCGCTGCAAACAGTCCTTCCTATAACCTTGGGGCAGTGGCGGTGGTCGTAGCTCAACAGTGAGTCACTGCGACCGATGGTACAGCCGCTCTTGATCTTCTTCCTGTAAAATCAAGGACA